TGACACTCATTGCTATGTTGTATATCAATTTACCCGTGACATTGTAGGAATGTATAATAAATACCATCTGTGGATCCAACACGCTTGAGGTATCAACTTTGATATATAACAATATTATACACATACCTATCACTACAAATAAAAGGGAGAAATAAGGTATTTCTCCGTGCCTAGTCCTGACCCAGATACTTTGTTGAGCAACAGTCCCGCAACAAAGTACCCAAAAAGTCGCGCTCTTCAGTTGAACCCAAGTCCAAATAAGTTTCCTAACTGTTGCTGAAGAGTTCCGAGACACGATTTTGAGTGTTTTTGTTGGATCTTGGGCCGGACTAGGCTTTTGATAAAACGGAAAATTAAAAATTGGTTCTGATTAACGCGGGACGCCCGGCAATGTTTATTTTTTCGGGTGTCTCATATGTGGGGCACCCGTCGTTATTGGGTTAATAATAATAATAATAATAATAATAATAATAATAATAATAATAATAATAACAAAACCACAATAATAATAACAAAAACAAGTAAATAAAAAACATTCTATCAGCAGAAACCCCTTTAATCCCGAAAATTAATTAGAAGTACAGCAAACAACATTTCTCACTGATTTTAACCGAAACTTTGCACAGTGCTCTTTACTGCATAAACATGCATTCGTATTAAGTATGTAAAGCAGTGGTTCTTAAACTTTAAAGTTAAACAATCCCAAATGTCGGCGAAGTAAAAAGAGAACCGTAACTAGAGCATAAACCACCACCTGTTCATGCCGAGACGTCGTAGGAAGCAGAGACATAGATAAAACTGTGATGGACATCGGTTTTCGAAATCAATTTTTCGTTTCATACTTTTTATCTCAACTTATTTCATACGCACCTAATTTTGGCATCTTTAATACCAGTGTAGATGTTTGTAGTCTCGCCTCGGAACTGCCTAGTCCAAAAACACAGCCCTAAGCATCGTCATTATTATCATCATTACTACTACTACTCTAGTCCTACTACTACTACTACTTAAACTATTACTACTTCGACTAATACTAGATCATTATTGTCACTGTTATTGTCATTCTAATTCTCATTATGATCATTATTAGACATTATTACTATCATTATTATCATTATCACTCTTATCCTCCTCTTCGTCATTATCATTATCATCACCATTATCATTACCTCCGGTTATGTTTTTGGTAGCACTGACTAGTTTGTTAGCAGGATAACCTGTATAGTTGCAAACAGATTTTTATGATTTTTTATCAGAGGCGTGTCTTGGCGCAACTTGGGTGCCATTAAATTTTAGTGGTTATCCGGATCATATATTTTTAAAGGATTCATCAGCACTACAAGATTACACGGGCGACACCAGTGTAATTGAGAAAAAGGTAATTCTACGTGTGAATATTACAGGCGCTTGGCGGAGGAATGCGCTCCCAGGGTGCTTCTAGTTGTTATTATTATTATCATTATTATAATCCTCATCTCTTATTTTACGTCACTATCATCACTATCACTATTATCACCATCATCATTATTATCAATCCTATCACTATCATACCCTCGTTACTATTATCCTCCTCATTATCATTACTATCATCATCACCAATATCATTATCATTATCATCACCAACACTATCATCATCTCCAATATCATTATCATCACCAATATCATCATCATCTCCAATATCATTATCATCACCATCACCAATATCACTATCATCATCTCCAATATCATTATCATCATCTCCAATATCATTATCATCATCATCACCAATATCATTATCATTATCATCATCATTATTGTTATTACATCCGCCAAGGTTTTTGGTAGCGTTGGCTTGTTGGCTAGCAGGATAACTCAATAAGTTATGAACAGATTTTTATCTTTATTTTATTAATTAATATATTTAATTTTATTTTTTATTTATTTATTTTACCGAAGGTGTGTCTTAGCCCAACTTAGATGTCATTAAATTCTGGTGATGATCTGAATCATGATCTGGTTACTGGGCAGGAAAACTCAAAAACTTTAGCAGTGTGTCTTAGGCCACCTTATATGCTATTAAATTTTATTGATCATGATCCAGATCTAGGAGTCATTTCAGAATTCATTTGCTTTATCATATAGGGAAACATGGACGTCATTAGTGTATTTGAGAAAGTGGTGACTGTAATGTGATTCTTCAAGTGTGAAAATTTTTATTGCACCATCACCATTCCCATTATAATAATAATAATAATAATAATAATAATTAATAATATTATTATTATTATTATCATTATCATTATTACTATTGGTATTATCATCATTATCATAAATATTATCATTATTATTATTACGCAAAAATATTTGTCGTATCTCCATGCACCAAACAGCAAAGATATGCGAATTATATAAGGAGGAAAAGGGGGAGGGGGATAAATTCAAATTCCTTGTAATTTCCACTAGCGTCTTTTCTAGCACCCATTTCATAGGGATAACTGCATTTCAGCTAAAGCAATGCCAAATCTGATGATACCATTGGGAAGAAAAAAGCGCGTTCCCTCTCGTTGCATGTTCTAAAATCCTTTTTTTCTAAGGGGGGTTAATGATTTTTCAAGGAAACAAAATTTAGGGAAAATGGCTTACATTAATGGGATTTATATAAGTGTTTGCTTCTATGTAATGCAACTTGAAAACTCACTCTTGGAGGCGAAGTGCACCAGTGTACGGTACTGGGACTCCCTCAGGACGCAGTCGGAATTCACAAAATGCAATAAGGCTAACATGGATTTGCGAGAAGTAACATTTTTTAAACCAGATAATCGATTTACTTGTATAGGATTCTTTTATTACTGCTCTCTCTCTCTCTCTCTCTCTCTCTCTCTCTCTCTCTCTCTCTCTCTCTCTCTCTCTCTCTCTCTCTCTCTCTCTCTCAAACTACCCAGTTTAAGAACCACTCATATATAATGATAAATGTAGATATATATACACCATTTCAATGCAATTCTTCTTGAACTTGGGCATATTCCCTTACGACTTTGACTCTCTCTCTCACTAACCGAATGGTCGTATCTAGCCCTTCCATGCCTGTCGGAATACACCGCTTATGAAAATGAATACCTCTAGGGAAGGCTGTCAAACACGCAGCCCGCAAGCCTCATGCGGACCGCCGCACATTTGCTATTTAGAGTCGGCTGTTTTACATGATTATTTAAGTCTTATAAAATTATCACTTATACTCTTTTAGAATTAATAAAATAGTCTCCCACGTTTTTAAGTCAACAATATAGTTTTAATACTGCCTTAATAAGATGTGGTTTTAATCTAATCATGGTTATCAGAACTGCATGTTGTATACTAAGGTGAAATGTGGGCCCCTGGCGTAAATGAGTTTGACAGCACTGCTCTAGAACACTTTCTACCATACAAGAAATGTATACTACACGCAAATGATAAAAGATGAGATTTCCCTTATACCAAAGTGTAATTAAAGATAGAATCTAACATAAATGTAAGAAAAGGATAGCAAAGATATATCAATGAGACCGGTTTTTCATCACGATCTCTCTGTTAAGGTTTATGACGGTACCTTTCAAGGGATTAGTGGAGACCGTATGGATGCCCTTCTAACCTCGGTCTGCAGCTGGGACCCAAGACCAGGCATTTACAGACCCTCCTGATTCCAAATCGTTCGCGTTTGCACTGCACTAGGTCGGTCATCATCAAAGAAAGATTAATTTACATTAACACAATAGTAATCATGTATATAGCACACTTTGTACGTTCCGATTCCGGTTGATGCAACACTGCGGTACGCCTATAAAAAGCATAGTACTTATACTGGCAAGCAATAAAAATCATATTCTTTTTGAAGAAGAGGTCTGTCTTTTTTTAATTAGTCCTGTCCCAAGTCAACCACAGAAACTCCACGGCACTTAAACCTGTCCTCGACACAAGATTCTGTAGGACTTTCTAGTCCCGTCTTCCCTTTCTCCCTTCCTCCTGCCTTTTTGTAATGAACTTTAAATTGTTTTTGGTGGGTCGTTCAAATGAGATTCCTTCTTTCTCCTTCATTTTTCGATAATTTTTCTGTACATGGTATTTTATCCTTCTTCTTTAAATCTACATCTTCATTGTTTCAAAGCAATTTGCATATTGATTGTTTAATACCTAATATTTGCATCCGTATATCAGGGTAGACACTGTAGCATTTCATAAACCCTTTTTGTTTTTTTACTGAAAGGTCTGTGCGGATGCGTGTCATTTCTATATGTCGTGTTTTGCTATGACAGTTCGTGCTTGGATTCCAGTGCTGTATGTAAAATCATGGGTTACGCTGTTGCTAAGGTAACTGAATTTTGCGATTTCTTGGAGCTGAAGATTTCATATATAATATGATCCTATATCGGGGAACTGTGTATTGGTTTTCTTCTTGATGTGAACACCACTTTGCACATTTATGTAATTCATGATGAATTTTAAGTGGCTTGTTCGCTGTTTTATCCTTTGCATGATTAAAGAATAAATCTTTCAATCTGTTTGTTCACTGAGATCTCCATCGATTGATAAAGGTACTGCTTATTTCTAAAGCAGGTTTATCAAAATTCTGGCACCTACTTCCAGTTCTTCGAAGCTTTTCATTATAACAATCTGGCACTATGGAAGGCTATTTATAACTGATAAAAGACATTATTTTGCATGTGCATCTTTAAGGGTTGTAAATCTCAAAAGAATGAAGAAAAAAAAACATGTATACATATATATATATATATATATATATATATATATATATATATATATATATATATATATATATATATATATGTATATGTATATATATATGTATATGTATATGTATATATATGTATATATATGTATATGTATATATGTATATATATATATATATGTATATATATATATATATATATATATATATATATATTATATATATATATATATATATATGGCTTTTCTTTATCGAAATCCAACATGGTCCCACCTGATTTCTACATTGAATCTTCTTT